AGACCTGAGTAGTGCCATAGAGAATTACAGTGTGCTTTGGAGAGGATGTGTGGATCATGTAAGGAAAAGATTGATTTGGAGAAGCTTACAAGAAAAAAGATTTTGTAAAGTAAATTTGGTTTTGATATAGAGTTTAAAAGAGAAACACAAGGTTGGGAGGTATGGCAGGGCTGGGGCCAGGGGTGCATTCCCAGAAGAGGCAGAAACGTGAGCAGAGCCTTGGAAGTAGAAAAGGAATGCGGGAGAAATCCAGAGCAGTTTTAATTCCTCAAGAAATACAAAAGAAGGTTGAAAGAGTCCTTGGAGGAATGTGGCTGGATTCCTTGATTTGGGGCAGAATGGAGAGTCACTGAAGCATTTTGAGGAGAGTCAGACAATGGGTGCCTTAAATGCAATTATCTGAGGGCGGCCTTGAATAGACTGGGATCTGAGTTGTGAAGACCAGAGGATCACATCCAGAAAATAAATAACAAAGAATGCAGTTTTACCCCGCTATCCGAAGGTGGAGTTCCTTCGAGATATTTTGTAAGCCAAAATGTTGTAAACTGAGGCACCAATTACCATTCGTGTATATAGGGCCACTTTTGAGCATTCCCAGACCCCAAATACAACCTCTCTTAGGCTTTTCTGATACCTTAAGACACGTCTGACTAACGGGCACACAGAATAAATCAAGACAAAGCACAGGTGCTCACAGGCACAGTTCAAAGCTGTGGCGGCTGGCTGCTGAGATGCTGAGTGTGGTTCTCAGGAAGGAGCTTGGCGGGGCGGCTCTCGCCGCTCGGGGTGCACGCCGCCTCTGTAAGGCTTGTTGCAAAACCAACACTGCGCGCTGTTTTCGCTTTTCACCTTGCTTCGTGGAAGCAAAAATCCTTTTCCGATTTCTTTCATTTAGTCAAAGTAGGCGCTAATGTAGGTCTTTTGTAAAAGTGATGTAGTGGGGACTTTCAAACAGTGGGGGATACCTGTATGTGTATATGTGCATGTGTATATGCAATACGTGTGTACACACGTATACAACCATATATATACACACACACGTAAACACACACACATAGACACACTCCCTGACAACAGGATCCTGGCGGTCTCACCCATACTGCGTCCCCAACTCCTAATCTAATGGCACAGAGTCGGCACTCAGATCTTAAATATTATTGAGTCACATTAATAACCAACAGGTTTGCTCTATTATTTCTGTTTGCCCTCTTTTCAGGGTCCCTCTCTCCAGCAACTTCTGTAAACTACTCACAGATTCATTTTGCTGGGATGCGGATAAAATAGCTTTTTATTTTATTTTATAATTTAAAGCTGTGTTTTTGCCCAACGTCCCATCCACTATCCGTCTGTCGGCTGCCTTTTTAAATGTATGGCTCCGGTGTAGTTCAATATCTACTCCCTGCCTCTGAAACCCATCCCACGGGCCCTGCTGATACACGCCTCAGATCCCTCTTTCTCCATATTTCTTTATTGCTCCTCTTTCCTTTCCCAACCTGTTTTCTTCTGTTTTCTTCCGATTATTCCCTACCGAAGGAACTTGGAATTCATATTACAATCAAACTTATCAGTGTTGCCAAAACAAGCACCACAGGTAAAGCTTATAATTAGGGAGGGACTGCCATATAGTGGAACTGCTTAGCTGGTGTGGTTAGGAAAATGCTGGCATTTATAGGTAAACTCAGCTTACAGAAATGCAGTTAAGCCCAGCAGAGCATATTAATGGAGGCTTTGAATTTTTTGTCCCAAGGGAGATGGAAAAACACTGCAAGTTTTGAGCAGAGTGACATAATCCGGGTGGCAGGTGCTCTAAGGGTGAGCATGTTGCTCTAGGAACAAAAAAGGACTCTTCACCTGGCCTTCCAGGATCAGAAGTCCTCCTGGAATATAGCCAAGAGACAAGTGTAAAAAGAGCAGAGAGATTAGCTCAAGCAAAGGCCCAGGGGTGAGCTCCAGCAGGGAATGCTGGAGAAGTGGGTGGCCTCGCACAGTGTGAAGGTATTTGAACTTGATCCTGAGGGCCGTGGGGAGCCAGCAGAAAGTTTTGTGGTGGGGAAGGCCATGACAAGCGACACGTCCCTTATACAGTTCATTCGGAGAGCTGAGTGGAGGAGAGCAAGAAAACAGGAGTCATGAAGACCAGATGTTGGAATCCCAAGGTGATGGTGGCCTGTGTAGGGGTGAGAAAGTTTTCCTTTTTTTCCCCCTCTAGGTTCTTTGGCTGGTGTACTAATTAAGTTGACATGAGACAGAGTAACGGGAGAGAAACAAGTTTATTTTGAATGTACAGAAGCTCATAGAAATAGGAAATTCAAAAAAGTGGCCAAAGCAGGCAGCTTGTAGACCTTTTATTTTATTTTTTTTCAACATATGAAATTTATTGTCAAACTGGTTTCCATACAACACCCA